TTGCTCAGTTACCATAAAAAATTCTACTAAACTCGGTTTTCTAACAAATACTAACATGGATAGCTCTCTTCCTAATGGAAGATAAACAAAATAAAAAACAAAAGAGTGTGTGCCTTTAAAGTCTCAAAGAAAAGAGAATATTGCCCTACAGCTCAGAGGAAGTACCTATCAATGCAAATGATTTTCCAGATACCTATTAGAAGCTACAGGAGAATATAGGTGTGCAGAGAAAATTGGAGGAGATATGTCAGAAACAAGGAAACTAAAATAAGAAAAAAAAGTAAGTGGATTTGAAATAAAATTTTGGTTAACTAAGGCAATAAGTATAAGTGTTTAACAATGGTGAAGCTTTAATTGACGTTATAGAAAAAACTCGAAAATTCTTTCAGAAAGCAGATGGAAATTATGGAGAACATGATATACATATGGATAATAGAGCCTGAAGAACAAGCTGTCACTTAAGAATCAAATTATGAAGAAATAATTAATATTCATTTTAAGTTGAAATTGTGCCAGAATACCTTTGCCTAACCAAATTGCATAAGATATATTATAGATTGTAAATTTTTAGAATTTTGATAACTTTTAGAGGCCTAACTCAGCATTTGACATGATTTCAAAAGTCTTATAAGTGGTCATATATTTTAAATGGTAATATACTTAAAAATTGAAATGTGGGATTGTTTTTAATACTTTGAAAATATAGATTTAAAAAGAACACTTTTTAAAATTATCAGGATATTACATAAGTATTTACAAACATAGATTATAAAATTAAAATAAGATTTATGAAATTCTAAGAATAAAATAAATTTGAAATTCTCACATCTTTAAAAGTCAACAGATATTTATTGAGCACCTGCATGGTGCCAAGAAATGTTCTAGATAACGAGAAAACAGTAATGAATGAGACAAAGCACAAGGCCCTGCCTTTAGAGTGAAGGGAGACAAAAATAAAGCTTAATAATAAATCTTCAAAAAATTTTAGAGTTTGTTAAAGACTATAAAGAAAATACACAATTAATACCAGAGTAACTGGGATAGGAAGTTACAAGTTAAAACATTCACAATAATAATTTTTATATTTTGAAAATATTTATTTAAATGTCTGCATAAATTTGAAAAAAAAAAATTCTATGACGTTGGTTCAAAGTCTACAACATACTTAGTAAAGTAAAATTCTAACGGAAGTGATACAGTGTGAAGATGTGAACGGAAATAAAATTTTAAAAGCTATAGAAATGGACATCATTCATGTAAAGCTGTAGCATGGCTTAAGTTCTCCCTATATTCTTTCCATACAAGTTTTTACTGAATGTTTAAAAGATGTCCAAACAAAGGAAAATGCCAGTCTCATTCTTATAGTTGCATTTTAGTCTTGTGATAATTATTTACCTGGTATTTTGTATAATGTGAAATGAAATAATTTGGTAAATAAGAGCACACATCTTCTGTGACCCTTTGTTTCAGTCTGTGTTTTTCAATTAAATATTTTTTTAGGATTCTCAGATCAAAAATACAGGAGGCTAAAATAATGTGATACCATTTCCTATTCACACCAGATGTGTTTAAGAACAATGTTCAAAACATATTCTCTTGCTAGATAATGGTTAATTCTAATCCAAATGAAGGAGGCAACATTGCAAAATACCGAATGAACTCTCAATATAGTCACTTTGAAAGGATGTGAGAGCGGCACCTAGCAAAGGTATTTTTCTTCTTTGTATGTTAATTCGATTCACACCTGCCACCACTTCAAAATGGTAATACTGGAACGCTGCTGCTTCCTGGATGGTAGTGTTTTAGCCAACTTCCTACATATTCTCTGTCAGTCACAGTACTGGAGGCCATTGGGAGAATGCTGTTGCTTGTAAAAAAGTTATTTGCAGGGAAAAAGCTATTAAGGAATGGGTCCTATTAAACCAAAACCATTTAAGAGGCTGGCTCACCTTCCATTTTAGATCCTGGAGCAGGATGAAAAAGACGTGAAATATTTTAGAAGTGCTATCTAATAAAATGTATGATTTTCTACATTCATTACTTTAAAAAATGCAATGTTGTTATATTTTGTCAAGTATTTATACATGGGTATAGCATTTTTTAAAAACTATAAGCCGGGCTCGGTGGCTCAGCCTATAATCCCCCACCTTTGGGAGGCTGAGGTGAGTAGATTGCCTGAGCCCATGGGTTCGAGACCCACCTGGGCAACTTGGTGAGAACTCGTCTCTACAATAAATCAAAAAATTAGCTGGGCGTGGTAGCGCGCGCCTGTAGTTCTAGCTACTTGGAAGGCAGAGGCGGAAGGATCACCGGAGCCCCAGCAGGTCAAGGCTGTGGTGGCCGGGAGTGGCCACTGCACTCCAATCTGGGCGACAGAGTGAGACACCAACTCAAAAAAAAAAAAAAACAGAAAACCATAAGCATTTCAAAAGATTTTTAAGGTATATTCATATAACAATAAGAAAATAATTTTAAATTTAAAATATAATCAATACTTCAAATCAAAATTGAGGTCATGTTTGTCTTTTGAAATTGATAATCTCTATTATTTTATATTATGAGAGTGTTACAATTCTATTTCAATTCGTAATTAAATATAATTTGCTTAGAAACACAATGAAGAACTGGAGCAATAATCTGAGCAAGTCAAAGAAATAAAATATATTACATAGTTCATGCGAAAGTTTCTTTGACTTATCATTTCTATTTCATTTTGCATTTGCTAACCCAACTTTTATCTAAGTATGACCAGCACAATCAACCTACAGAAATTTCAGTAGGAATAGCATCATCAGTTTTCATGACTGATATTTTTTGTCAAAACTATTTAGATATGACAACTGTGACCTCACATTTGTAATAAACAGTTTTAGCAGGAATTCCCCTATTATAGTAGGCATAGTTTTACAAAACATAATATTTGATGTTTTTATCAAGTTTTAAGATACATTGTGAATAACTTAACACTTGAACATTGTATAAACATTCTGGAATAATTTTTTTTTTTTTTTGAGTTGGAGTCTCACTCTGTTGCCCAGACTGGAGTGCAGCGGCCACTCCCGGCCACCGCAGCCTCGACCTGCTGGGCTCCGGCAATCCTTCCGCCTCAGCCTTCCGAGTAGCTGGGATTACAGGCGCGCACTACCATGCCCGAATAATTTTTTTTTATTTTATTGTAGAGATGAGGTCTCGCCTGCCCAGGCGGGTCTCGAACCCGCGGGCTCAGGCAATCCACTCACCTCAGCCTCCCAAAGGCGCGGGATTACAGGCTGAGCCACCGAACCCGGCTCAGAATAATTTTTATTGGAAATATGAACATACTTCTCTTCACATATTTTTCTCCATTACCTTCATCTTATTTGAAAATAGACCTATATTCTAGAACTTTGAATTTTTGTGTTTGAGAAAGCTTATGCATTAAATACTTTTCTACAGAAAAGTATTTTTATGGTTTACTTTTAAAGTTTTATTTTTATGCATAAGATATTACAAAATAATTCTAAATGTACCCAATTTTGAAAATAAATTTGGCATGCTGATCATTTTGAAGAGGTGTGTGTGTGTGTGTGTGTGTGTGTGTGTGTGTGTGTGTGTGTGTGTTTGTAATGGGAAGTTGAATTTCTTTTTTTTTTTTTGAAATGCAGAAATATTTATTTTGGTTTCCTTCATTGTTTTTGGAAATTCTGTTTTGGTTTATAAAATATAGAAATAGCCAACACTTAAAGCAAACATTCAAAACTCCAATGTGACAAATTATTGACTTTTTGTGCAATTAAGAATACATATATGAAGTTAAGCTACCAAATAGTGTTATTACAATGACAATTCTTTAGTACAAACCCTGTTGTGCTTGTATAATACATTTACTCTCACATACCCAAAAACAGTTGCTTCAAATGTATAAATGACAGCTCAATTCAGTCAAATGTGGCAAAGACTTGCAATAAAGTGAAATGCTGTTAATTTCCCAAATCAACTTAAAAAACATCCCTTGAGAAGTTAATCCTGGGAAATGATCTTTTCAGATTTCTACATCTTAGAATTTTGGCTTGTCAAATACATTTCATAGAAATCAGGTAGCAGTATAAGAACATCTGTTTATTACTGTCCATTTCAATAAGTACATCTACTCCCTTAATATTTTTAAAGACATGCTTTGCCTGAGAGTTTATTTGGGGGAAAGAAAGCCAGTTAACCACAACATGATCTTTTGATATGAAAACCACATTAAAGACCCGTTGGCCATTACACACAAAGTGAGTGGGTCAGTAGATAAAGTAGACAGTCGTTGAGGCATCACAGTTGAGTGTGACTGACCCAGGTCGTTCTTTCTTTCTTGAAATGCTTGTCTCCACTGTAGACTCTAAGGCAGATTTTTTTCATAACCCCCGGAAGGGATGGAGGGAGGGAATCGGGCCTGGAGAGCAGAGTCCAGGAGCCTTGTGCCGGGGTGAGAACCCATCGCTCTGATGAGCCACCGATCGCCAGAGACTCCGCACCTGCACTGTTCTGAGTTGGATCTGCCCCTCAGTTTACCGGAAACGTCACGCTCCAGCAGGACCCACCCGAGACTGTGAAGAAGAGCATGAATCTCATAACCTTTATGAATCGGAAGAGTCGTGTGAGTGCCTGTAAGATAGGGAAGGGACGGTGACAGGGATTAAAAAAAATCTCTGGTCCATGTGTGACATTCTCCAGCCAGAACAATTCTTGTTTTTCAAGGGACAGTTTCCCTCCAGTGCACTGTACTCTTTAGAGCAGCAGATGGCTGCAGAATTTGCAGCAACTAGCAGACATCTCAGAAATAGCAAAGTCCTAACCCCTTGGTTAGAAAAACAGGGAGACAAAAGCTTTAAAACCCACCTTTTTAACTGAGGAAGTCTCAAATAACTTAGGACATTTATAAGTTCCCCTTTACAATTTTTAAGGCTCATTTGGAAATTGTTGATCACCATAAACATGGTCTGCAACACAAGATGATTGTAAGGCAGTGTTCTGTTTCCTCTAATATTCCTATGACAAGATCCCAATGAACAAGTCCAATGCGAACGCTTCCTCTCCTGCACTTGCTGTACTCAACATGAAGGCCATCAGTGGAAGAGACTGTGGAGGGGTGCCATTTCTTCCAAGCTTTCTTCCTCCCGTTAAACCTTGATGGTGGAATAAAGTTCACCTATCTGCGACCTGAAATAGTTCCGTAGTTCTGGCCTTTTTGCCTTCATTGTTGGAGTCAAAATGCCATTGTCGATAGAAAATAATTCAGGGTGTAGTGTTATACCCTTGACCTGCTCAAATGGTTTTAGACCAGAATCCTTCCCAAGCCTCACCATGTCTTCTAGGATAGCTTTCTTGACATCCTTATTTCTGCACAATTCCCCAAAGGATCCATCAAATCCTCTCTTTCCGGCCCAGGAGCCTAATGTCTCAATGTCTGGTACCACAATTGCTATGAGAAATGCCTGCAAGCTTTCTCCGTGCACAAACACCTGAGCAACAGGTTCACTTCGCAGGTATATGTTTTCAATCTTTTCGGGTGCTATGTATTCTCCTTGTGCCAGTTTAAATATGTGCTTTTTCCTGTCGATGATCTTCAAGGTGCCATTTGGTAGCCATTTCCCAATGTCCCCTGTGTGTAACCAGCCATCTTTATCCAAAGCTTCTGCTGTTTTTGCTGGGTCTTTCAAGTAGCCCTGGAATACATTCGGCCCTTTCACACACACCTCACCTTCGCCCTTGGCAGCCATGTAATTCATTTCTTCCACATCAACAAGTTTTATAAAATTGCAAGGCATTGGGGCACCAACATGGCCTGCTGTCCAGTCTCCAGGCACAGTCAGGCAGCACCCAGCAGTGCACTCAGTCTGTCCATAACCTTCATAAAACTGACAGCCAAGGGCCGCTCTCAGGAAGGTCAGCACAGTGGCAGACATGGGTGCAGCTCCCGTGACCATCAACCGGACACTTCCGCCTAGGCTCGACTGTATCTTGTGGAAGATCAGCTTGTCCCACAGGCTGTTGTTTCGAATGATGCCACTGCGAAGTTCTGCTTCTTTCCTCTTGGAGGCAAAGTCCAAGAGCCATCGTTTCAGCGTGGTGTTTGCTTGACCAAAAATTTGGTCAAACACCGGGTTCAGCAGTCTCAGAACCACAGGAAAGAGAGTGGGCTGCAACACCTTGAGATCATCCATAAGCAGCCTGATGTCTCCTTGAAAAAATCCTATTTTAACTCCATGACACAGCATGACACACTCTACAACTCTCTCAAACATATGGGCGAGAGGCAAGAAAGATATCAAAGTATCGTCTGGGGAAGGACTGACTGTGTTCTCTGTCTTTTTCACAAAAGCTGAACAATCGCTCACTACATTTCAATGAGTGATCAGTGCTCCTTTGAGGTTGCCTGTAGTTCCACTTGTGAAAGAAACTACTGCAAGATCTTCAGGTGCTGGAGGCTTGGGCTGCCGCCTGTTGGCTCTTCCCAGATCCTCCAACGCCTTCATGCTGATGATCTCCACCCCAGTCTTCTTGCCTCGTTCCACCAGCTCACTGCTGTAGGCATCCATGAGAACTACGACTTTAAGGCCTGGTGTTAACTTATTTTCTACACCCTCTAATAAGAGTTTGGCCTTCTCTGGTCTGTCAACAAAAAATCAGAGAGAGCTCAGCTTTGTTGACTATGTACGTGATAGCTTCGGTCCCTAGAGTATCATACAGTGGAACGACCACCATTGAATAAGCAAAGCATCCCTGTTCAATAATCACCCACTCAGGTCTATTTTGAGCAAAGATGCCAATGAACTGATCCGGGGCGGCCTTGAAGCCCTTCTGGATCAGCGCTGAACCTATGTACTCGGAGCGCTCTGCAACCTGTTTGTATGAAAGCCATTCATAGAATCGGTCTGGTTTCCGAGAGCCTGAACAAGGGCCATTATCGCCACTTCCACTGACTGCATGGAGAGGTCACATGATGGTCTCGGGGCTTTGGGTCTCGTGGCGTACCCGAAAGTGGTGAGGGCGGCCAAAGCTCCGAAGCCCATGAGTGTGTTGGTTGGGAGGGTGCGCACGTATTGTCGGAAGTCAACCAGCTCTGGCACTCGAAAATACCGGAACAACTCGTGGGCTTGCATTGTCCTGTGTTGATAGTTCTCTAAGCTGAATTCTCCCCGGCTGGCCCCGCCGCTCCGCCGCCGCCGGCTGTCACCGCGGCCCACTCCCTTCCCCGCGCCGGCTCCGGATGCTATTTAAGGCGCCGCTGCGGCCGCGCCAGGCAGCCACTGGTGCGCTCGCTGAATTTCTGAATATAATTGTAACTCTCCTGACTTATTTATGGTGTGATCATAGGTTTACTTTTATTGTTTTCTCATCTCATTTGTGTCTCATAAAAAGCATCTGAGTTGATAATATAAAGTTCTTAAGAAAACTGTGTGGATATAGTTTATGCTTACTGTGTGGATATAGTTTATGCTTACTTTTACTGTACATAAATGTATTTTTATAAAACAGATTGTGTTATAATACTGCTTTGTAATCGGATGTTTAAAATTTTAATAATGCATAGATTTTTTTGCTTCCATGACTCCATAGTCATTACATACTTCAACCCACTTCAATAAAGGAAAATTTTCAGCTACTCCACTTTAGTTGCTTATATCAGAGTCACCATTTACTTCAATGTGACTAAACTGGACAGACACTTTTTAACCACCATCTTGTTTGCAACACCTGTTATATGAGACACTATTGATTGCTCACCAAAAACAGTCTCTAATCCCCTCTATGCCAGAACACCCTTTACCTAACTAACACTCAGGTATCTCCACTAGGATGTTTTAGCACCTCTAATACAATCCGGACATGATCAAAGTCTTCCTGATTTCATCACTGCTGCCTTGCCTCTCAAAAAAATACTACCACTCTGTTATCACTCCATATATCATAAATGACACATAATCTGCTTATATTCAAGTCACAAACAAGAAAGTCCTTCTTGACTCCATAGTCCCTTCCTCACTTGTACCTATAGTTACATATTCTTTTTAAGTCTATTAAGTGCCTCTTTGTTTACATATCTATTGCCACCAACTAGTATAAGTTACAATTTTCCTTCTGTCTCTAGCACATGACAGTCACTTCTTTTTTTTAAAATTTTTGATAGAAAAGCAGAATTTACTGAAAGGACAATAAAGCTCCCAGAGTGGTAGGAGACCCAAGGGGGTTTTCCTATAGCCACTTCTTAACTAATCTTGCATGAATGAGAGAGAACCCTATGAAATTACCAACATTCAACCATTGCTATGAGAATTCCATATATTAAACTTTATACTAATTATCTCAAATTCATTTTATTTACTTTTTCTAGGGTTTTCTTTTAAAAACACAAAAACATGAGTGTCCAATGAATATTTATTGTATGAGTAAATGTGTGCGTTTATATTTTTAAGTTTTTTAACTCACCACCAATTTTTGCTATAGCTTATTCAAATATTTCACTTGAATGAAAGATTTCATAAAGAACATTTTGCATACACATCTTTATGCACATGTCTAACTACTTTCTCAACACATATATTGAAGTAGAACTATTGGAGGCCTATCTTTTTGAATCACTGACAGACATGCCCAACTTTCATTCTGAGAGTTTTAATTTTCACATGTTAACCCTGAAAAAAAATCAGTCCATAATTCAGGAAAGTATCCTTCAAAAAGTCTGGAAATGATTGCTTTATTAAGAATCCTCCAGAAAAGAGTGTGCACATTCAAATGAAGTTCACTGGAGATTATTTTAACTAAAACAGTTAAAGCAAATAAGTCATCCTTGTGTCTTGGAGATTGTCTAAGGTTTAAAAATTTATATATTTAATTACAAATTTTGTTTAAGGAAAAAAATATTTTCTTTGTGTTTTCTGAAAAGTGTACATTAGTGTTTTCAGTTGTCCCTGATGCTGCAGTTTTCTAAAGTACAAAATTACATCTACTAAACTTAAAGTTACACCAAAAATCAGCATTATGACTTGCTAAATGAGGCTTAGACATTTAAATCTTGATTTATATGTTACTTTCATTTTCAGCTAAAGATTTCCATCTAGAAAATGATGGCTGGAAAAATTGCAAGATGTTGAAATAATAGAAAATAGATTAAAAGCATTACCTGAGAAACAAAGAAGTGTTAGAGAATTTTGTATGTGTGAAAAACTTCAAATTAAGTTGTTTGAAATACTCATCAATACATTAAAAACAAAAGTGAAGTGGATAAATCAGATAACTCATCTTCCAGTTTGGGGTATAGTACTGGGGAATCACTTACAGTATTTTAAAGATTGTGACACTGTGAAGACATGAAATATTTACTCTTTTGAACTTTAGTTTTAATCTCAATCTATTACCTTATCTTAAAAGATGTTTAATGTTCTGTGTTTTACGTAGAATTTTTGTTTGATGTAATTTCTGTTTTCATTTTAAAGATGTAGAGTACAATTCAGGATTAGGTATACAAGTGGTCATTGTACAAGTAATGTTTGGACCTCCCTTTGGTTACTCACTTCGTGTGTTTGAGATCAGGTACCCTTACTGATATTATATGACACTCCCAACCCCTGGCAGTTTCCCTCTACTGCCAGTCCCTTTTTTATAGTATATAAAACTTAAAACTACAACAAAAAAAGGATATTCTGAATAAGATAAATAAAATATCTGAAAATAAGAGCACTTTGAGTGAGAGTAGACACAGTAGGACACAGAATTAGAAAACTAGACTTAGAACAATAGCCTATATGCAAACAAGCACTTAGAGAAACAAGAATGGAAAAAAATAAAATACAAGAGAATATGTGAAACACCATAAACTTTCTAACCTATGTGAAATTTGAGTCTCAGATACAGAAGTGAGATAAAATGAAATTATCAGTATTTGAAGAAATAATTGCAAATAATTATATAAAACAGGTAAAAACTTATGTAAAACAGGTAAAAAATTCTCAGTGAATTTCATGAAGATGAAAATACTATATTGAATTATATGTAGGATTAATAGAAATAGAAGTGTATCCAATCACATCAGAATGAAATTATTGAAAATAAAAGATGAGAAAACTTTGACAGTAGTCAGAGGAACAAATGATGCATTACCTTCAAACAAACAGTAAGATTGATGGCTGACTTTTCAACAAAAATAGTCAAAGCCAGATGGTGGTTTAATGACATATTTAAATGCTAGAAATTTTTCCAATATACAAATTTATACTCAGAATAAATATTCTTCAAATGTGAAATAGCAGGTGTCAGACTTATCCTACCACTATAAACAGCTATAAAACTGGAAACACTGTATGAAGAACCTTTTTTTAGACACTGGAAAACATATAGCACGATGATATTATCTATGAGAGAAGGAAAATACATTAGGTGAACATCACACTCACTAAGATTTCTACCTGGGGGATCTTTCTGAATCATACCAGAAGGAAGGGGAGCCCCATATGGGACAAATAATCTTTTGTTGAAGAGGAATCATTTAAGTGCAATATGGAACTCCTAAAGCAGCTAAGATTTAGACAACAGGATATTAGAATTAGAATTGGTGATTCAATTGAATATCCCTCCCTTAGATGTAGGACTACTGTCATACTAGAGTAAGAGCTACCACAGAACTTCCCTAACAAATCCCAAAAAGGAAACCTGATCATGAATGATAAATTAGCCACCTGTAAGAACAAAACTCATCGTTCTTTTAAAAGAGCCAACAGAACCCAGACTTTCAACAATGTCACATCCACAAAGCCAGCATAAAATCACAAATGAATACCCATATACAGAAGACAGATACTGTGATCTATAGTTAAAAGGCAAAAAAAAAAAAGTTGAGAGATGCAGAGATGTCACTGAAATTAGCACACAATAAAATCAGAATTGCTACTATATTTAAGTTCAAAGAAAACTTATAAGCATCATGAAGTAAGAGGTGGAAAATAATAAATATATAAACTATAAAAAAAGAACCAAATGTTTTTGCTTCTGGTCATATATAGTACAACCAGAAAGTACTTTTGAACTTTGAACAATAATCAGCACAGGGTTTGTAAGTCTGATAGAAGAGAAATAAACAAGATTAATTTTATGATTGCCCATTGGCCAAATGTCTGGAGGTATTTTCTGGACCTTAGTGTAGTGAGGAGGAAATCAATTACAAGAAACATTCTATGTTAATGAGATAAAGATCAGAATTCATGAATGTAGAGGCAGCTGGAATATATGGGGGAGAATATCTCACAGGAAAGAGTTATGCATAGAAAGAGCTTCAGAAATCCAAACTTCCCTTTAGTTTTGAAGACTAAGAGGCAACTACATAGGATTATATTTCATAAGACTGAACAATAAACAACTAGCTTGGATTTGTAAGCAAACAACTATCGAAACACACAGTAGAAAATATATACGAATTCAGACAAGAGTGTGGAGATATTAAGGGCTTTAAGCAGAAACCCTGGAAAGGCTATACACACATTTTGAGTAGTGATAAATCATTACTTGAATAAGGACAATTTTAGATCTCTAACAATGAACACAAGCTTTCAAAGGATCGAGTTAATTTACAAATAACTTGTCAGAAAAAACTCAACATTTACAAAGAAAAGTAAAACATTCCAGGCATTCAAAACATAATATTTACAATTTCCAGCATTCAAAAAGTACTAAAATAAATAGCAGGAAAATGTGGTCCACAATCTAAGAATAACAAGTTATAATAAATGAATCCATAAATCTATCTGCAATTGGCAAACAAAAATTTTAAAACAGATATTATAAATATATTTAATATGCTTAATAAGAAATATGTTTAACAAAGGAAAGCATAAATATAATGAAAAGCAAAATATATAGTATAAGGAGAAAAAAGAGATTGGAGAGATATACAATTAACTGAATAGGAATAACAGCAGATTATACACTGCTGAAGAAAAGATCAGTGAACTTGAAGATTGAATCTTCCTAATAGATGACATAAATATTATAGAGCCTTTCGTAATGAAATATCAATGCCAAGGATTCTTCCTTTTATTGCTTTTCTTTGTGCTAGAATTTATGCTTCTAAAGGAATCTGAAAATAAGAGTTTTTTAATTAACAAATTTTATGTCACTGACTAATATTTTGCAATGTTAAACAATATATATATTACATATACACCTAAATGAAGCATGCAATAATTATTTATATATATTGTACAAATCTGTTAGAGATGGTTAAAATTGCAAATTAACGCAGAAATTTTGTGATTGAATT